AAAAATAGTCTCTCAAAGTTATAAAAAACAACTTTATTGAATGATTTTTTTATGTGAAACACAGTTTTTTCAAAAATAGGTGGTTCCGCCAAGGAACCACAAATCCATTAGTGTTTCTGGAGAAATTTTTTGAAGCAGTTGATTTTTTCGTTGAAACATAGACCAACGTCGCAAGTAGTACAATGCCATCGTGTATGATGTGGCTCCAATCAAGTGCTACATTGGGCAAAACGAACTTTATTTCCATGTTCAGGTAAATGTGCACATTTGTCATATTTTCTCTCCAGGGGTCTGATTTTTTTATACCTGTTTGATTCAACACTGTCACTTGGTCTCTTATTAGATATTTTGGAGCCGGCTCCGATGAGTCCTGTCGCTACTGCAATCCTAAAATCTTTCAGGCTCAGAGTTTTGGTTCCAAGTGCACGAGATTTATGAATATCATTTACAACTGCAAGATCTATAAAGTGCCACAAGATGCGATGCCACCACTTCCTTGATTTTCTATTTACCTCATATAAGAAAATATACATGTCAGATTTGTCGACATATCTCATATGTTTGTTGTAATCTTTGATATTTTTCAGAAGATACACCATTTAAAATTTGATTTCCATTGTTTTTGTAGTGTAATGATGAAATATACTCATGTCCGTTATATATTTACTAGGATCTTACCTGCCATCATCAAAAATGCCGTCTATTCAGATCATTTTATAAGAACGTGCACACAAACATGAATACTGTTTCAATAATGTGGTTCCAGCCAGCGCTTACTGGGCCACTTCAAAAAAATCATTTGATTTGTGGTTCCACGGTGGCACTTCTAGGCTTCAAAGGGTTACAAAATAGTCACCATATCTCATAATAATCAGAAACACACACTCAATACATTCACTTGAGAAGAACAGATAATATGAGCAACAATATCTGAATAAAAATACTTACTTTTGAGTAACAAAAAACAATATGGCGTCCTGCACGAAAAGAAAACGCGTGGAAAACGGCGCAGCACTGAATCGTTTTTGGAACCATCCTCCGCTTCGTTTTCTCCTTGCACGCTTCACTCCTCGCTTAACCGTTCACGAGATATTTGCACTGTTTCAACCGTACATTATTTTTTTTATATTTTATTGTTTTCAATCACTTGAAAGATTTGCTTGGAATGAATCACCATTGTAAGTTCATCTTCACAGTACTAGTCGTCTAGTTCTTTTTTGTTCGTGGGGAACCACTGATGATAAGGAAATAAAGCAATAAGCAATGAAATTCTTGCACCTGTCGGAATGCACCGAAAAACCGCCACCGTTTTTATATCGGAAACTGTGTTATTGGATTGCGTTGGGAGAGATTTGTTGAAACGATGTAAAGTCCGTGGTTTTATTGTTGCCCACGCATTATTCAGTTCATATAATTTGCTTTGGCCTAGAATGTTGAATAATACTTATATTGTGGTGAACCGTGCCTGCAGTTTATTATAGGTAGGCAATAGTAAAGTCAGTAGTGTTCTAGTGTGAGATTTAATTAAGTCGTATTTCAGCTGTGTTTTTGCGAAGAATCATCCATTAACGACACCCTGTATTGTCCATTTATTCCACTCTGAATCAGTAAAAGTTCCATATTTTATGAGCAGCAGTCTGAGTTTTCCTGACCACTCACAAAAAACCTTCAATCCATTTCAATATAACTTGGCGCCCAACATGGAGCCAGAAAAATTTGCCGTTTGATAATGGTACTTGAGAAATTGAAATCTTTGATGTTGCATCCAATAAATTAAAGTCATCCAGTCATAGAGATGAAAATGTTCATGTGCTAAATATATTTTCAATTCGGTGACAAAGTCTTGGTTATCTTGGTCAGTTTTGTAGACCAAACCAAGTTCATTTTCTGCTCATATAGCAGGAATTGTAAAGCTAAAGTTAACAGTTCTCTGAAATGGTAGGAACCATGATTATCATATATCATGGTTTTTNGCGCTATCATACAGAGGTATATCTGTTAAAATCAGTTGAAATATATTTTTCCGTTAACCAGCTGTCGCACCCCTGCGAGCGAAAACTCTCATAAATCGAAACTTGTGCGAGCTAACTACTAACGAAGTCTTACCTTCTGAAGTGTGATTCCTAACACGGGTTGGACGATATAGGGTGTGAAAATCGATCGTCCGTTGTTTTGTGTTCGAATCACCGGTTCACACAGCGGTCGATTGAGTGAGTGGAGTGAACCAAAATCAAAATCAAAATGCTTTAAGTGAAGATTATGGTTACAAACCCTAATAAAAATTTATTTACAAAAACAAACATTGTCCTACATACGGAAGGAGGTTTAGGGAAGGAAGAGGGATAGGGGGAAACGGCAGGTGGATGACTGTTTTGTTGAGCCTAACAAGAAGGTACAAGACACGCCGTCACATGGTCCCACGATTGGACTGTGGAAGGCTCCCCCGTAGATGTTAACGGGTAGCTCTTCGCTCAACAGATTTTTGCTTTAGCCACCACCTATCTGTATCGGTGGAGTAGGGAGGGTGAGTGTAGGCCCACAGCACTTAGGCCACAATTAACCCATTGTACATCCTCCCAGGGAGTTGTCCTCCTAGATCATCGTCCATGCTGTCCTTTCCAGGAAGGTGGACAGATCTCTGGGAGACATTTCCTTTATATCGGCAGGTGTAGGCCAAGACTCGCCGAACACACACTCCCTTATTGACGATAACTCTAGGCATTCGCATATAACAAGATATCCAATTAATCATAGATCAGCCCGTGTTCACGGGGTTGATTATGGTAACTTCTCATACCCGTGACGTCCCTCGTCAGAGGATTTTTCGGAGTGCCCTTTAACCCACCTCAGGATAATGTTATTATCTACCGAGGCTTTGGCTAAATCTTGGTGGCACTCTAGTACTAGCCCTGAGGTAATACGTTTTCTGTTGTGTTATGAAGAAAGGCTTCCTGTTCTTTTTACAGGACTGCTCCAGTTCAACCTGTTTCCCCAAAAAATAGGAAAATAACAGTAGACCATTGATATCGAAAATCATGGAGAAAGCTGTTCATCAATACATTCTCATCTGGAATGCCTCCACATCTTAAGTGATCATCAGTATGGTTTTCGTAAACAAAAATCAACAGGTAAGTACAATATGTCATCTACTTTTGGAACTATAGAATCGTGAAACATTGAGAGTCTCGAACTTCCAAGACATATGGCCGTTTCTGGCATGAAGGGTAACTAATGGAACTTCGTTGTGGCTTGCCTGATTGTCTTTGTTAGTGGATCAAACGTTCCTGACAAGTATGTGTCCATAGATGTAGACCACAAATAAAATATAAAACGTCGACGCATCACTACATAGTATGAAATAAAGTAGCTGCGGTGTAGATTTGTATCTTGTTCCGTTCCAATGACTGATACGGTCAGAAATCGCAAATACTACCGGAAACAAGTTGTGTTATCTAGCGATAAGACGAACACGTACGGTGTTACTGGCTATTGTCTCATATGGATACGCGCCCATAAGTCGAACCACCATTGCATGCAGTGTTACTTCGTACCTCGTTCAATTTCGTTACGGTCGAAACTCAAAATGTTTATGCAAGAGAATCGTATCATTTCACAATATAGGCCGAGTATGTATGGTGTTACATTACACGATACGTCATATCGATACGCGCTATTTCAGACATGCCCATACATCAAAGAAAGCAACATAGACGTCTCAAGCAAATGGCACTGCAAGTCATCCACAAAGTTACTGAGATATTTCTACCCGTTATGCCCCTTGAAGACGCCGCTAAGGAGCCATTGAAATAGTGACTTGTGACAAACAACGTCAAAAGAGGCAGGCGACGCTTTTTCTCATATCGCGTTAAAGATAGTATTAGTAGGCGCCGGACTTGTTATCTTCTACAGATCTATAAAATAATCAGAATATGGAATTTAAATTGAAAACAAATGTGGAAAGAGTTTGATAAATAAGCTTTTTGAAAAAAAAGTTGTCAGTAACTCCAAAAGCTTTTGTTTTCCTTGAGTTCCATAATAATTCTGAAAATTGTCTATCTATTGACACCGGTCATACTTCCACTTTTCTGCATTAATTCCTTCTCACTGCTGTAGTTTCCCTCATTTCTGTACAGGTTATAGTGGTTTGTAAGCTGCTTGAAACTTGTATAGCTTGTGAAATATTCCCAATTTTTGGCATGCATGATGGTCCTGTAAATGATCACTTCATTTCCCGTATGTATACTCTATGAATAATAGTGTNCAACTGCTACAATTCTTATACTTGGGCACAACAAAATCCTCATTCTATTGTGAAGCAAAGAAGTCAAGGAAAATTTGGATTTGGTGTGTGTGCAAGTGTTTTCAGGGGTAGCATTATCGATCAGTTCCGTTCCCTTATCTTTCCATCAAATTATTGAACTCTTTGTTGATGAATTGCCACTAATGAAGCTCAGAAAAATATATTTTCAACAAGATAGGGCACCGTTATGGTCTCCAATTTATTGGTTGCAAATTTTGGTAATAATTGAATAGCCAACCAAGGACCCAACCGTTGGCCGGCCAGGTCACCGGACCTAACGCCTATTACTTTTAACCTCTGTGGAATGTTTTTGAATTGCCAATCACTTCTAGATACGAATTGGAAGCGGCAATGATGCAAAGTTTTGCTTCTCTCACTCCTTCAAAACTAATTATTTCGTCAAAAAACGTACAAAAAAGGTGTCGCCGGTGTGTAGCAGCCACAGTCCGTCGCGTATTTTTCATATGTACCGCTCTTGATGGAATAAACTGTCCTAAGTCACTTGAACACCTTCCGTGGAAGGCGAAGCTCCATACATGAGAACAATACTCTAAAGAAGGTTTGATCTGAGTTTTATAAAGCTTCAAAAGTTGTTGAGGTGTGTACAGTTTTTTGGTTCGGAACAGTGTTCCAAGCTTTTGAGGAGCAGTCTTTGCAATTCCAGCGACATGATTATGAAAAATCAGAATGCTTCATGATTTGGAACATAATGTTATCAAAATACGTTTCCTCATATGTAATTTTTTGCCAACTCCACAAGCAGATAGAAAAGGATGATTTTTTTATGATGCAAGTAAAAAGTTATTCGCTTCTGTTTCTCACTTACGAAACGGTTTTGATGAAAAAAATATTGAAGTTATTTGACAATGGCAAACACAGGAATTGTTCTTACGGAAACAATTTCAATACAAGTAGCACCTAGACGTTTATTTTAGATCATAAATTGTTTTATGAAAAGGTGCTCACTATTCTCACTTAGATATAATTTGTTTTGAATTTTCGTTCTCTAAACAGTTTTCCGAACATGGGAAACGTGTTTCGCTATATAATAGCTTCTTCAGGCGTTTCTATATCCGCCCATAGACACGCCCGAAGAAGCTATTGTATAGCGAAACACGTACTGCGTTTTCATTAAACTGTTTAGTGAAACTCTCACAATGAAGTGTTTCTTGAATATATTATGGATTTTCATCAAATATCGGCCGATTTCATCACATATTGGAAATATGGCAATATTTTTCCGCTAGCTCCTTTACACGTACCAAGAAAACATTTTCTGGTTTTCGTTCATCCTTCCATCTAGAGAGGTTTATTCGGACTATCGATTTATATAACACATTCGAACCAAAAATATTTACTGTATCTCTGAAAACCCATGTCAAGAGTGACACGTTCTACTGGGAGAAATTGACGAATATATGAATAACATTTTCCCAAATAAATCAGAAATAGTTGACCTCGTAGCTTTTTTACCAAAAAAGCTACAATGTCAGAAATGAAAATGTTTGTGAAAATTTAGATAAATATAGTGAAATATGTATTCATAGCAAAAATCAGTTACGTACATACTGAACTATTTTGCACAACTGAACTTTCGAAAACAATTTAAAATCAGTTTTGATAATAGGAAATTTATCAAAAAAAACCTGTCAGGCGAATTTCTACTATATATTCCATAGTTTGCGATTTTATTTCCATGCAATTATCGTAACTGTCTGAATGGAGCTCGTGAATACAAAATTGATTATTCCCAATTCTGTCAGACGAATAACCAGTTATAATAGACTTATTTTGTCTTTATTGATTTGAAACACAAATTTCCCTCTCTTTGTCGTTAAGTAATTACCCTCATAAAACATTGTCACGTTGATGATCACCTCAGGCAGCGGAAAAAAGCTTTCTACCTTTTTTTTTGTAAAAACGTTAACAGGTGTGACAACATGAAAACAAATTATTTTCTGATGATATTTTTTGATAAAACGGGAATCAGAAAATGCAATGAATTTCTCACTAATTAACAATGAAGTACAGTACTTGAGTTTTGAGGATGAGGGTAGACTGGATACGGTTGAAATAATTAAGCTTTCATCGTTAATAATTTTGTTGTTCATAAACCAAGTGACGATTATGATACGTGAAATTCAAATGGGTGCGGTTGAAACAGCGATTGGGGTCAGTTGAAACACATACAAATAAAACAATAAATACTGATGAAACATGTTTTATTTGTCATCGATACTTTTGACGAGTAGATTACAAAGAACGATAATAATTTCAGAATCAAATGAATATTGAGTATAAACTCAAAAAGAAACATTCAGCTTAGAGATTAATCAGAGTCGCAATTGTGGCAAACGTAGCTAAACAGCTTCTTTGCATTCTTTCTGAGTCCACTGCTTACACGAACTACATTGAATTCAATTTTCTCCGGATCTGCTCTCTGAATATCGTGCTAACCAAACAATACAGTAGCATTCTTCTTGTGATTCTTCCTTTTCTTTCGTCTAATCTTTTCTTAACTTGCTCAGTTTGGTTCCTTTTTTATTTTGCTTCATATTCCTTTTATATTTTTTCTTTCCTTGGTGTATCAGTATAAATAGTTGATTTTTTAGGTTTACGCCCTTCATTAAATTTTCTTGAGGGTGCTTTTGGTAATAGCCTCACTGTCTCCGGAGTAAAGACGATCATTAGTAGCTTGTGTACTTGTAGATGATTTTGGGGAAATTTTTTGATAGATACCGATGCTGCCAAGTCGTCTAGGTGGTGTATTTATTGTTTCTTCAGGTTCATGAACGTTCACTTGCTGAAATATTGAAACTGATTAGTCAAAGAGAGCTTTTTGTTCAACTGTTGTCTGGAGACACAATGTAATATAGTTCGTGGGGAACCACTGATGATAAGGAAATAAAGCAATAAGCAATGAAATTCTTGCACCTGTCGGAATGCACCGAAAAACCGCCACCGTTTTTATATCGGAAACTGTGTTATTGGATTGCGTTGGGAGAGATTTGTTGAAACGATGTAAAGTCCGTGGTTTTATTGTTGCCCACGCATTATTCAGTTCATATAATTTGCTTTGGCCTAGAATGTTGAATAATACTTATATTGTGGTGAACCGTGCCTGCAGTTTATTATAGGTAGGCAATAGTAAAGTCAGTAGTGTTCTAGTGTGAGATTTAATTAAGTCGTATTTCAGCTGTGTTTTTGCGAAGAATCATCCATTAACGACACCCTGTATTGTCCATTTATTCCACTCTGAATCAGTAAAAGTTCCATATTTTATGAGCAGCAGTCTGAGTTTTCCTGACCACTCACAAAAAACCTTCAATCCATTTCAATATAACTTGGCGCCCAACATGGAGCCAGAAAAATTTGCCGTTTGATAATGGTACTTGAGAAATTGAAATCTTTGATGTTGCATCCAATAAATTAAAGTCATCCAGTCATAGAGATGAAAATGTTCATGTGCTAAATATATTTTCAATTCGGTGACAAAGTCTTGGTTATCTTGGTCAGTTTTGTAGACCAAACCAAGTTCATTTTCTGCTCATATAGCAGGAATTGTAAAGCTAAAGTTAACAGTTCTCTGAAATGGTAGGAACCATGATTATCATATATCATGGTTTTTAATTTGTATGTGATGGAATCGGCCGATTCCTAATGAAAATTCACAGTATCAAATCATCTAAAGGAACAATTCATTCAGGCCACTCTCAACTCCTTACACTGTACATTGATGGACTGACACCTATCAGAAAACAAATGCTCCCTTGCCTAATACCACGAAAAACTTTGGATTATTTTTGACACTTGTCAGTGCAGGATTTTTCACTGAAGTTATTCCTGCATATGCTGTTGGCGATACACCTGCCCCAATAGACTTCCAATTATTAGAACACACTTGCAGACCGGTTTCGGGTGTTTGGCCACTCGTCAGTGCAAGGTAGTTTCCATCGTCAACATAAAGTCGATGGTTTTCGATAATTAAAAGTCGAATTCCTTCAGAGTATCATTCCTCGAACTAGGCTTAAGCGGACAAGAAACAATAGGTTTGTCATCGCCCCATGTGCCTGTGAACGAGGTAACCAACCGCATATCCGAAATTTGTCCAATTCCTCGAATAAGGAAAGAAAACTCTACACATATAGTCAGTGGGCATACTTGAAGACTGGCTATTAATCAAATCAATTTCATAGTCAATCTTCAAGTATGCCCATTGACTATATGTGAAAAATCCACAATATATTCAAGAAACACGTTATTTTAAGCTTTTCACTAAACAGTTAAAGGAACATCTACCATTACATGCAAGTAGAAGTTCGATCTATAGATCCATTCAAATAACCATTTTTGAAATTTGTAAATCGATATGATTTTATTTTTTCTACAGATATATTGTTGATCATAGATGATATATCGAGCATGGATTGATTTCAACATTTCAAAGCAAAAAACAATTTGAGAATAAAACATGAGCTAAATCAAATCTGAAACAACATTTTTGGAACACGTACACC